TCCCACACCTCAGCCTCCGCAGAGCAGCACGGGCAGTTTCAGGGCTCAGGTAGGAATTGCCTTTTACCAAGCTTCCAGCCCGGAGCTCCGTGAGAAAAGAAATGCCAAAGACCTGGTGGAAGTTTGGGGAGAATCCCCAAAGCTGGCCATTCACACTTATTACATATGTGCACACAGATGCACATGTAACACACATACGTAACACACGCACATGTAACACATGCACACACACAGCCCCAGACCAAGAGAACCAGGTCAGCCTGTTTGGAGAGGCAGCAAGCCCTGTGTAAGCCAGTGTAGGGCACTACCTTATTTGTGCCGGGAGCCCAGCACTGCAAATTGTGCGCCTCATTTGGGCCCCAGCACCACCACTGTTCTGCAGTCTTGGGCCAGCCCCGCCCACTCAAGGACTAGAGAGCAAAGGGCCACCTACCTCCCGGCGCTGTCCCCCATGGGGACCGTTGTTGACCCATAATTTGCCAGTGAAATGAACTGACTCAGTTCAGAGCCCAAACCCCTGGTGGAGTGAGGTAAGGTGGGGCTGAGAGAGCCCAGAGATGATGACACTAAGCTCCGCTCCCCATTATTGGACACAAATTATCTTCCAGGTGCTATGCTGACCTGTTGCACACTTAGTCTCATTCAGCCTCACACCAACACCCAGTAGAGACCAGTGCTCACATTGCAGAGATGAGGAAACAGCTTCAGAGAGGTCTCGTAACATGCCCAAGACCCTACCCTCAGTAAGCTGTGGAGAGGGGATGGAACCCAGGCTTGTCTGGGCTCTGAGCCCATGCACGGTCTGGACCCCGTGCCATCCTGCCTCCCTTCCCAGCTGAGGAGTGGTGGCCTACCTAGGTGTCTCTGATTTGGGGCCAAGTCTCAGCCCAGGCAGCCTCAGCCCCGGTGTAAGGTCCCTCAAGCAGACGGTGGGATCAGGAAGGGAGCTGCCATCCCCACCTGGACATCTGAGGTGCAACCTTCCTGCTGAAACAGGTGTGGCACCAATAATTATTTTTGGACTGGGTTTTGGGATATTAAATGGTATTTTCATATGTGAACTCGAATCCTTGAGGAAGTGTGAGTGAAAGCAGAGACGCTTTCATTCTTGTGAGTGTGTGAGGGAGAAATGTGCCCAAATGTAAAGGACACAGTCCTGTCAGAAAGAGGATTACATCTGGTGGGGAGCTGAGATTGTTTTAATGATCAGGTTTGGGTAAATGGAGGCAGATAGGGACCTCCTCCTATTTTATCTCTGCGGTACTTTTTAGATGAATTTGCCAGATAGAGAGGCTTGAGTTTGTATCTTGGTGGGGCTGTGGCCCACCTGGGGGTCAGGCTCTGCTCAGAACTGGCTCGTGGGGTTTCCCAAGGCTTCTTGGCTGCTGGAAGTGCCCCCGGGATCTCCTGCAGGTGCCCCCTCTCTGGAAGCTCCTGGTGGCTCTTTCCACTTTCCTGAACTTCACCTGGATGTTCCCTGGCTGCCTCTCTGATGCGTGCGGCAGGCTTAACGCCTCCCAGACTCCCAGGACTCTTCCAGTGGGGAAGGAATCAAGTAGGAAGGCAGGCACAGAGGGGGTTTCCAAGCTTCCAGGAGGATGAGATGCTTGGATAGACCTCTTTTTTCTAACTGAACAGTCTCATTGTGTCCTCAGGGAAAATTTCCCAGCATCCTCTCTGTCACCCCTTCGCCTCCTCACTTTCCCTTCCTCACAGGCCCTCCTTTATCTCCTCAACTGAAGGGACATTTCTCAGGAGGGCCCATTCTAGGATCCCTGACACCGATCTAAGCCAAGTTCTTGTATTTCCAAAGGAAAAATCCCCAAGGCTGGGCTCTACTGTCTTTCTGTTTAGTTTTGGACCTTGACCTTGAGGCTGGGAAAACCCAAGTCCTGACCTTGAACCCTGGAGGACCTAGCTTATGGTGGTGGCCACTTTTGCCTCAGCTGCTGGTGAGCCTTAGCCAGTCGGTAACCAAGCCCGGGTCTGAAGGGCCAGGGAAAGTCTGTCAGTTTCTAGCCACACCTCTTTCTCGCCTTCCTTTCTTTTTCTTTTTCTAAAAATAACCTACATGTGTTATCTTACAGTACTGTAGGTCGGAGGTCTGACACTGGTCTCACTGGGCTAGAATTAAAGTGTCAACAAGACTCTGTCCCTCCCTAGGGTGCTAGGGGAGAATCTGTTTTCTTGCCTTGTCCGGCTGCCAGAGGCCACCTGCGTTCCTCGGCTTGTGGCACCCCTCCATCTTCAAAGCCAGCAAGGGCCAGTCGAGTCTTTCTGACATCACATCACTTTGACTCTGCTTCTGTCATCACATTTCCCATCCCTGATTCTGAGGCACACCTCTCAGAACCGGGAAATCAAATTGGGTTTCCAAGAGGTGCCTCCATGTGGAGGGAGCCCCCTGGGCCTTCCACCCTGCTTCATCCACAGCTGTTCACCTCTGACAGCTTTTCCAGAGGACAGCTGTATTCTTAGAAAGGTTTCCTCTGATGAAAACAACCCCAAACTGAGATGACGGTGCCTGGGAGCCAGCGCTGAGTCATGGGATCTGTGCGATGGTTAGAACACCCACGTGGGGGTTAGATCTGGCTCTGCCCTGACCTGGGTGTGGCCAAGGGCAAGCTGCTTCACCTCCTGCCTCTCCCCAGCACTGCTCCTTGGCAACAGCCAACCCTCCCTTACCCTCAAATAGCACCCTGGCCCTTGCATCCCCATCCTCCCATACGTGTCCTGTAAATGGCAGGATTAGGATTCCCCGCTTTGAGAGCAGAGCATGTAATGGCTCAGAGTTCAGCCCCAGAGCAGGGACCCTGGCATCATCACTTACTTTAGGGCTTTGGGCAAGTTACTAGACCACTCTGTGCCTCAGTTTCCTCAACTGTGAAATGGGGATGACGACAGTACCAATTGCATGGAGCTGTTTTGAGAATTAGGTGAGTTAACAATGTGCAAAATGCTTAGAACGGTGCCTGGCCTATTAAAATTGCTCAGTAAGTTTTACCTATTATTATATTATTCTACTATTATAATGGTCACCCTGTCAGCTTCCTCATTTCTAAAGCTCCTAGGCCCACAAGAACAGTAGCCATTAATATCATGATAGTTGTGAGGAGGAGGCGCTCTAGACCCCAAAACTAGTACAGATCAAATGAAATAGAAGGTCTACCTGGGAGTGAGCCTCTCACGCAGTGCCTGCGTTAATACCGCCCCCCCACCCCACCCTCCGCCCAGTCCTGCTAAGGGCCCAGCAGCTCTGTCACCTTAGGTCTAGGGCCTTGGAGACCACACAGCGCTATCTAGAGAATGTCTCAGGAGATCCTGGTGCCAACACACAGACTCTCAGAAGCCAGCAAGTATCAAGCGGGCTTTACTGGTAGAATTTAGTGGTAGCTGTTGGGTGTATCCAGTCATCTCTACTTTCAGTTGGCACTGACTGGGACAAATCCACACTCTTACAACCACACTGCCACCCTGGCCCCTGGCATCTTGGTCTCCAGCCTCAGGCATGGAGCCCGGCGGCGGTACCTGGGTGATCATCTCTGCCCGGAGCGGAGTGCACAGGTGCGGAGCACATGGAGAACCCACCTCTTTGGCCCCTTTTGAAAGGTGGAGAATCTTAAATGTAGCAGCCGGCTCTCTGCCTGGTAGGGCAGCATACCAGGCACCCTGCATGCAGTTCCTGGGGTGTATCCAGGAGCCTCCATGTCACATACAATGCCCAGATTCTCTTTAAAAGCTGTGACTGTACATGTAGGAATTTGGGTAAATGTATTCTGATTCCAGGGCCTCCTGGACAATCCCTGCCTATTTTGATTAAATCATTTGGCTTTCTTGGAATTTCACCCTAAAGTCACATGCCAGGGGAAAGGTAATCATAGTTTGTTCAATGTTCCAGATAGGAAGATTTTAGTTCAGAGCTCAGTCACAGAGCAGGGACCTTGACCACCACAAGCCGAGGACTTTAACGTTTCTTCTCTTCCCGCTCTGTTATAGGGAGGAGAAAGTCCCCCATGCCCTGTTAAATGGACGAAAGCCCTCCTTGCTCATGACCAACACAGTAGGAGGTCCACAGTGACCTTTGCCTTTAGGAGGGGACAGTGTGAGCCTGTAACAGGATATGAAATTTTTATCAGTAGAGGAAAATTGGTTGAGAAAATAGGAATGAGTTCTAACACCTTCCTCACTACTATAGAAACAGCCCAGAGCATAGACCCAGTAACTGGAGGAAGAGAAAGGCCCTTGAATTATCTTCCTACAGAGAAAGCTCAGGTTTGTTGAGGACTGACTAGTTGTGGGCCACGCTCACTCCTCACAGCAGTCCTATGAGGTCAGCACTGTCAGCACTCCCATTGTATAGATGGGAAAACTGAAGCCTGGAGAGGTTACGCAACACGGACAGTCAGTGGCAGAGCGGGGCTTTGTACTATATCACATGGACCCTGCTGTCCCGCTCCTCCTGCTCTGCCCTCATGGAGGCAGCAAACGGAACCGTGCACGGAAGCCTCTCTAGTTCGGAGCTAAGGGAACCCCGACTTAGAGGAGGGCTGGAGGTGGGTGTTGGGCCACCAGAGGCAGCAAGTGCCCTCACCTGCTCTGCTTGTTCCAGATTAGAAAGTCAAACACTTGAGAGGAAAGCCAGCGTGTGTTCCTCCCTCCCTCAGAGATAAGCTTAGCTAGGGCCAAGCTCTCAGGGCCCCAAAAGGAGGGACAACTTGTCCTGTAAGGACCTGGAAGGAAGGATCAGGAGAGAGATGTCTGTGGGGGGCTTAATGCCAGGAGCACTGAAGGAGCCCAGGAAACTGCCCCCTGGAGCGCCTCCCAATCCTGCTTCATGTGTGCATTAGCGCACACCCCATCGCAGTGGGTGCTGAGCCGAGTCAAACAGGAGCCAGGTGTAAGGTCTGGCTTTCCTCATGGGAACTGCAGGGCCGAGGGAACTTGACAGGCCCACAGGCCTTTGATCCCCACTCATGGTCTCCCTCACTTGTCTCCTCTAGATGGGATCTGTTACGGAGACAATCGGTTTGACACAGTGAGTGAGTCAGGAACAGCCACGGTGAAAGCCCGGCCTAGGGTCCGGCCCCTGCTGACCTTCCTTCCACTGGTGAGTACAGTTCTGCTCTTAGTCTAAAGGTCTGCCCTGGACGGGCCATCCTGTCTGGCACAAGGGAGGCAGCCCCAGCTGGACATAAGCCTCAACCTCTATCTGTTCCCTTCATTCCTGCTGCCAACCCAGGGCAGCTACATGGCTGAGACTCACCGCAGAAAGGCTGGGATTAGGGATTTCAGCTCCTCTGGGTAGAAACCCAAGGGGAGGTTATGGGGAACTTTTATGCAGAGGTGACACAGTGATGGGTATTTCCTGCCAAGTAGGATTCATATTCCACAGTCACTGATGGCTGTGTACTCTGTGCCAGGTCCGCACTGGATACTGGCATGCGGAGATGACTGAGCCAGCATTGCTGCTCCCGAGGCAGGACACAGATGAGTAAGCAGACTATTAGAACATAGGCTAGAGCAGGGGTAGCTGAGCCAGCCACAGTAGGTGGTCAAGGAGGGCTTCCTGGAAGAAGTAACACCTGTGTGGTCTTGAAGGACAAATAGCAGTGATCCTTGGGTGGAGAGCATTTGGAACAGATTAGTTTGTGTGTCTGAAACTGCACTAAACCGAACTCCCTCTGGAGCCTGTGGTTGGGCTTTTGTTCTTTGACAAGGGAGAGACTGTGACTGCCCTGTGGACCTGTTCTGTTTCCTGGGATGAGAGCTCTGGATTTTTCTGGGATGGTCTAACCTAGCACTGTCCAATAAAAATATATGAGCCTCATATGTAATTTTAAATTTTCCAGTAGCTACATTAAAAGTAAAAAGAAATAGGTGAAATTAGTTTCAATAATATATTTTACTTAATCCAATATATTCAGAAGATTATCATTTCAACGTTTAATCAATGCAAAAAAGACTAATGAAAATTAGTTTCAGTAATACATTTTACTTAACTCAGCATATTCAAAAGATGATCATATCAACATTTAATCAATGCAGAAACTAATGAGATGTTTTACATTCTTTTTCTCATTAGTCTTCAAAATCTGGGGTGCTACACTTAGAGTACATACCTCCCACTTCTAACTGGTGACATTTCAAGTGCTCAGTAACTGCTTGTGGCCACTGGCTACTATGTTGAACAGCCCAGGTCTGGATCCTAAACAGTCAGCTCCGTAAGTTCTAGGTTCACTCCTGTCTGTCAGACCTGGATACTGCTTGGGACAGTACTGTCACTGGGGTCCACGAGGATTTGTACCGCCTAGGCCAACGAGGCACCAATCCGGGTCTGAGTTCACAGGGGCCTGTTAGACCTCATGGCACCCTCGCCTTGGTCCCTGGCAAATTCTGCCCAGCACTGCCTGGGACAACCACCTCCCTCTCTCCATACCAATTTTGTCTGGCTTGTCCAACCTCACCAACCAGACCTAGAGATTCTAGATGGGAGAGACCAAGTCTTAACATTCTCCTTGCTGCATCATCAAGAACTACAGTGGGGGGCTGAGCACACAGACCTCTTGGAATACAACTTTAAAAAATTAATTTTCTCCTTAGAAAAGCAATTTGTGGACATTTTAGAGAAATACAGAAAGTACACCACCATTAGCAAAAAGGTATAAAGCAAATGAATCAGTCCCTGCCTATTTTTCCAGAGATGCAGAAAACAGTTCCAGGGGGCATTCCCCCCATAAATACAGATGAAATAATTTTGAGATTTTCTATTGCTGGAGGTGAATTAGATTCTCTGCCTTTATCTCCTGTAACACACATACTCAGAATTAGAGCAGTGTCGGCCTAGGGCTGACACACCAAGACCTGTCTTGGTTGTTAAAATATCGAAGTAAATGGCTGTGGCCCCTTGAGTGGCTCTTGCTGTCCTGGCCCCTCCCTCAGATCTGAACCAGCAACTAAAGGCTTAGTGCAGCTCAGCTGACTTTGTTCTGATTGGCTGATATCATGTATTTTCCCCACCCCCTCCCCTCACCCCGACTTTGGACACCTCTGTAATCAGGAGTCTTCCCAGGTTTTCTGCCCTCTGATTTGCGTCCTAGTTTGAGCCAACCAGGGCGTGACTAGGGGACTGCGCAGACCCCAGGCATGCTCAGCAGAAGACGTGGCGGAAGGGTAGGGAGGCTTGGCTGGCTGGTCTGGCCTACAGTTCCAAGACTGCTTACTGGGAGCAGTCCTTACAGGCAAGCCTCAGAGCCAGTCCCAGGTGATGGGGGCTTCTCATACCCTCTGATTGGTGAGGACGCCAGAAGGAAACGTGGTGAGCTGACAACAAAAAGGGGCCTCCTCAGGTCCACACCAGCCTCATCTGGCAAAGGCAGGAACTGAACCAGAAAAGTGAAGTTCACTCCTTCCTTTCAGTACTGGCTGAACGGGTAAAGGCAGGTAGAGTGGCTTGCAAGGTCCCATCCAGTGGCATGACCATGTGATCACGGCTAACATGTATGGATCAGTTATGGTGTGTCCAGCACTATGCCGAGTGCCTTTGTATATGTTAAATATGTTAACAGTCAACAGAGCAAAAGAAGGTGTTGTCATTAATCCCCATTTACAGATGGAAGAATAGAAGCACAGAATGGGGAAGTAACTTGCTTAAAGCCACACAGCTTGTAAGTGGCAGAGCTGGGATTTGAACCCCCTGCCTCCCTTCAGCCAGGCTTTCAGATCCAAGTTCCATTCAGACTGTCCTACTGTCCCTCAGCCGACACCCTAGGAGCTCTTCTCTTCCTCTCAGACCAGCCTGCAGAACCACCCTCATCTCCCTTGTCTGCCTCTGTGAACCCCTGTCCAGCACTGGGACCTGCTAGACATAGGCTTTCTTGCCTATTTTGGGTCGTAGACTCCTTTGAGACCATGATGAAGCTATATTCAGTATTGCACATACATGCAATTTTGCTTACAATTTCAGCAGAGGGCTCTCAGGACCCAAGAAGCCCACCTTTGATGCACCTTTAGATTAGGAGCCCTTGGCCAGATGACCCATATCCCTGTGTTCCTGACTGAGGTTACAAAATACAGAGCAGCCACAACATCCTTTATCACCTCCTCCTGGGTTGAGGGGACAGATTCCTCTCCCTTAGGCTCTGGGCCAGGTCCTCTGCTTTCTTCCAGCTAGAACAGGAGGCCATGAAAATTAGGAGAAGCAGGAGGACACTTCTCCACATGTGTGTGGGTTCACATAGGTACACACATTGAACACCTGCCCCCAGACCCACCGAGTCAGGGTGGGTAGGGAACTAGGCTAGTGCCCAAGCCCTGCCTGGCACTATCATAGCTAACGGGCCTCATCCCTCCTTGTCCTCCCTTCTCACACTCATAGGGCACCTCCTAGGCCAGGCCACCCTGGGGCAGGGGAGGCACAAGGTGGCAGTGCCCGAGAAACCAGGCGACAGGCCCAGCGAGGCCCATGTTCTTCCTTGAACTCTGTCTGGGCCTGAGCCATCTCTGGAACATCAGAGCACCTGACATGAGCCTGCAAGGGGTGGGTGCAAAAGGGGAGGCCAAGATGAGGGGGTCCAGCAGGTACCTCTGTCCCCTCTGTGGAGCTTCTATGCTCTGTTGGAGGTAAAAGTGCAGAGAACTAAGGGACAGACACTTTCTCTGGCAGCCAGGAGCCAAAGGCCAGTTATAAAAAGGACCTCAGGATCCCTCAGTGACTGGGACGGGACCCAATTGATCCTCAGTTAACTGACCCAGTCCCAACTCTGCCACTGAGCCTTCCTGCCTCTGGGCCTCACCCATCAGTGAGGTTTCCACCCGATGGTCTACCAGGGTCTCCCCAAGAGGCAGGAGGTGGGGTCACCAACCTAATGGCCCCCAGAGAAGCCAAGCCTCTCACAACACACAGATCACTCTTTGAGCTCTGCTTCCACCTCTGAGAAGGGTAGCGTTCCAGCCACCAGAGCCACCCTGCCTCCCGCTCTGTGAGCTCTGAGGAACTGGATCGGAGTCACCAAATTTCAGAGCTGGGTGGGACCTCCTGCACATCAGGATGAGAAGACTGAGGCCCAGGGAGCAGGGGGTCCTACCCAGGTCATAGCTTAACAGAGGCGTAGAGGGAAACCCCCATCCCAGGCCAGTCCTGTCCATGCCACTGTGGGCCTGGGCTGAGTGGGGAAAGGATCCTTTCACCCCACTTCTACCTCCGAGGGGAATCCAGGCCCAGGACTCAAGCCAAGCCTGTACCTAGTTTTAAAAGCTGCGTCCATAAAAGAGCTGTAGTGGCCTCCCTCTCACCCTCCCCTGGTCTGAATCAAACCGTCCCAGGGTGATGCATGTGTGGAATTGAAAATCAAATGCCAATGTGGCAAATATGGGGAAACTGGCTGGACAGGTCCCCAGGGGTGCCCCAGGTGGCGAGAGCTCCCTGGGTCGCCCCACCCTCTGAGTCAAGCTGGCCTGGCTCTGCCTGAGGAGGTGGCAGGCTGGCTTAGGGAGGGAAGCCAGCCTGCCCTGGACCCACCCCTGATCCTCTGCTGCCTGGAAGCTCTAAGTCAGCTGGATTTCTGCTTCCTAGTCCATCCCCTGCCGCAGGAGCTCATATCTGACGTTAAGGCCCAGGCTCCCTTTGGGGTTTGGGCTTGAGCTCCTTAGGGTGAGCTGGGCAAGGCAGTCATTATTGGCTATTGACTGATTCATGTGGCTGACCTCAGCTGCAAGGGTTTTAGGGTGAGGGGGCTCCGTGTCAGGCCTGCAGTGAGTGTAGAGAGGGACCTCCCCACCCCCTCCATGGCTCCCTCCCTCGCAGTGAGGGCCTCAGCCTGAACTTCCAAAGCTCTGTCCATGCCCTCATCCTACCTCCAGTTACCCCTCGGCCACCCTGTGGGCTCAAAGATGTATGTCCTCCAGCTCGAGCTGTCCTCAGGAGGACGCCAGGGGAAGAGGCTCTAGAGGTGAGCTCATGGCCATTTAAGCAGGGAATTCACGGGGCCTTGGTACATGGACTAAGGTCCAGAAGGGGGTAGGGGTGGGTTCCAAAGGCGTATCCCCTTAACCCCATGAACTCCCACCCTGTAAAGAACTAAAGCAGGGCTCACCGTAGCACCAAGTCCA